ACTAATCTAATTTTCTGAGATTGTGGATTTGGGGTTTTCATAAGCTGTATGCCATAATCATCACAATTATACCAAAGTAAGGCTTGACATATCTCGCTTTGCATGTAATGCGTCTATCTCATATATTGGTTTCACCTTTTGAGTTGCCGTACTGACATAAATGAACATTTGCACGATATTCTAATTTTTCGAGTTTCACCTGTATGTTTTCAGTACTGACATTCAATGGCAATAAAATATGATCATGCACTGCTTTCTGCTCTTTAGTCTCTAGCTATTTTTGTTTGCCTGGTTAGAATAAAATAGATTTAATATGATTTGTGAAGTATGGATTGAGGATTCTGGGGCTGTCTCAGGTTCCTGTCTCAGGACTGTCCATCATGATTTCATTCCTCCCCAATCCTTGAATTTTAAATTAGTTATGTCTAACTTGTTTCACTGATTTTGATGGATCTTATTCATGACTAATGTTAGCTGAAACAGAGTTAATACTTGTACAGTGAGGAACTTTTACTGGGTCAGCAGGTTTACACAATATACCAAACTCAGGACAACAAAACACAGTGGCTATGTTCACATAGTTTTCTATGTCCAAACAAAGTCACCATAATATTGCTTAATGTGTTGGCCTGGCTCATCCAGTGTACTAATGCAAGGGTTGGATCCCTTTCAATACATTGAACCATAAACTATCCAGCACCATTATAGCCTAGCCTACTTGCAAACCTAGCCTTCTAGCCCTTCAGCAAGTAGGAAGGAACTGATGAGAAGGCAGGCAGTTTCAATGAAGAGTGTGATTAAAAAATTCATTATATGACTTAACTATGTAAATTTTTACAGTAACATCCAGAGTTTATAATTATAGTTATTAAAAGGATAAAAAATGATTAAATCTTAAATTGCTAATGACTTCAGAAATTTTCTTTATTGTGTTTTGTTTGTTTAACAAATTATCATAAATTAATTGATTTTTAATTACAATGCACCAGGGACTTTTTAACCGATCAGCATATTATATACAAGCTATCATAAATCTTTTTAATTTCTATTTTGATTTTTTTAATTAGGTACCAGAGGGGCATGTTAAATTGTACACTACTAGCTAAGTTTTGCAGACCTCTCCATGGATATCGTTTCATATACTGTGATTCTATAAATTGCTTTTGTTTTGCTTCAAGAGTGCTATTTAGTATATTTTTGCACAAGTACCACAGTGCAAATACATCTTTGTCTTAGTTGTGAGTGATACCAATGTAAGTAGATTCTATAATATTGTAAAAAGTGGCAAAATTACAGCTCCAACTTTCTCCAATTGTAGTTTCTATGTATTTCACCAAGACAACTGTTGTGAAGTATGTTGGCAGGCATATAATTTAAATTATATTTAAATTTTGGCTGTTACATGTTTTAACCCACATTACAGAATTGGGGATCTGTACATTCTTCAGAGTTGGTTGAGTGGAACAGCCTGTAAATCCTGCAGATAAATAGAGTTGCAATTTAAATATACACAAGACAACTGCAACAAAATGTTGAGGTATGAGGGGCTTCAGCTGGCCATATTCTGTTCCCGCAATACTTCATTTAATCCATTCTTTTCCGGTGAGCTGGCATTTTGTCCACAATCAGTATGTTCACTCCTTTTTGGCTTACTTCTTACTCTGTGTGCGTGTGTGTGTGAGAAAGATTGATTTATGAAGTTTTCATTTTAATTTTTCTGCAAAGCTTGGATTTTCTCCAAGACTGCTGTTAGCTTAACTACATGCATGAGTGATACCATTTTGACTCTACAAGGTTCTTTCTCGAGCTGCCTCTACATATAAACTAAGCAAAAACTTGCCCAAGGCTAAAAACGGTAAAGAGACTAAACCCAATGGGATGTAGATGCATTAACTTTTTTTCTCACATCAGCCATTGAACGGGAGCAGCAAGAAAGGTGCTAAAAAT